CAACTTAAAGTTGAAGTGTGGCCCTTTCACGGTCAATGCAAGTCAGCATGCAAACTATGATCTACTCCTAAAGAGATTGAAAGATTCGTACTGCTAACATGACTCAAGCAATAGAATTGCAAGGCTGGTGAATATGAAGAAATGCGATAGTGTTTATTCCATCTACAAGCAAATGATGCCTTTGTACAATCAATACCATTTGATTGAAAGCAAATACACCAGCTCCCCACAAGCAGAAGTAGATGATATGCATCAAATACAAATATCTATGAGTCATTGTAGAAGATTTGTCATGCATTTGATATGTCATTTGCAAGTCAAATATAGAAGAGAACTGCAACAAGTGCAAACCCCTACGAGCTATCGTAGGAAACCCGTTACACACCCACAGTATTGTCTACAAGAAAAATATAGAGTGACTACAATAAATACAAATGCCCATGGTCGGCGCTAGAAGAATTTTTGGGGCAAAGCAATAACCACGAACAAACATATCATATGTGATCAACTATCTACCACCAAAGGCAGGAGATTCGTTGGTGCACTACAATCTACCTGCATAAATCATACAAGTAGTGCACGACAGTCTACCTATACAAGGTAGGAAATAACTCAATTCAAAAGCTACTGCAACACGTCACCGGATCCGCAACATTCATGCAAGCGGACAGAAGACGTTTATAAATTTTCCAAGAATACCCCCTTACATGCGCCTTAACTTGTAAGCACATATGTACACTAAAGCGATAAATACAATCAATCCCAAACACCCGCATGGGCCTCGACGAGCATGTTATTGATACACACGTGACGTCTAGGGATGCTGCATGAGTTAATAAGTGAATTTCAGTTCGAATTCGATCCTTCTATACAGATCTAGGTTGATTATCTTGAATTATAGCCTAAACATAATCCAAGTCTCAAAAGTAAAATATGTTCCAACTTTGTAATTCACCCCATTAATGACTAATCTCTCTAACATACATTCAAAAAACCATAACTAAATAATGGAAATAAACTTAGAGTTAGGGCTTAAATCAATTGAGGAAGAAGAGGAAGAGGTAGACACATTTTTTGGCTGATTGAGGTGCACTTGGCAATTTGGCCAGCCAATGCAATCCGCTTGGGCATAACTGGACTTTGCACCAGAATTATCTTCTTTCTTCATTTTGGTCAACCCAAATTAGTCAACCAAACTAAATCCAATGAACTTAAGGAATTCACTACTCATTCCATATCACAACCCAACTCGATATGATCCATAGATACAGGCCATACCGTGTTGGATAGTGACAGAACAGAGCTAAAACCGCACAGACCAAGATCTTTTATTTAGAGAGATGTCATATTTCTTTTCAGATATAGATACCAGAAGTACTAATTTTTTCTACTATACATAAATTTACTCATCCACAAAAATTCTTTTCTTTCTATTTATCCACAAAAGTATATATTACAGATTATTGCTATCACAGTTCTTGACAGCAGAAAAACACAAGGCAGGAAATACATAAATGTCAGGACAGTTAAAAAATCTAAAACAAAAAATAAACTAAAAAAATTAGCTTTATCTACTCAATCGGCCCTTTACCCCTACCCTAACCTGAAAATGAACTGCAAAACATATAATGAGCTAACACAACTTAGCAGATTACATTACCAAAATCACTTAATAATTTCCAAACCAATAACTTAAAATAAAGCAGTTATTCCAATCTTAATAATGTAAAGCCGTGTCAGAATAATGTAGGGTTTTGTAGATAACCATACATGTTATCAAACTTAGAGCTAGAATGTAAATATACACATAGTGCAGAGTAAAAAGTAACAAAACTCCAGTCCTTATGTCTTTCATTTAGAACTCCAAAACCATTATGCTTATCATTCAGAACTCTTGGCCCTAAGGCCTTTCAGTGCTCTCAACACTTTCAGAATATCTGCAACAGAACTTCGCGGATATATAATAAAACTCCATACTAAACTCCCATCAAACTTCTTAGATATAGATAGAATATCATTTAGAGATGCACCATATATATTAATTATGCCACATAACTGTACATTTAAGAAATTAAACATAAATTAGACTATTTATAGAATTTCAGATATTTGCCCTATGAGCAACATTTTAACGGTCAAATCCAATACAGTGTAGCTAAAATTTTCTGACTTAGAATTATACCAAATTATCATAGATTATGCAGAATTATATTTCGGAGGTTTAATTGTTCCATAATTCTGTGTCTAAATATTTTTCTATTGCTTTAGAAAAACAGTGTTTGAAAAATACCTGACAAAAATTTTACCAAAAAAAAAAACATAAATGTCAATTTTACTACAAGGGGCTTCCTCTTAGACGAATTCGATGCTCTGATTGCAATGACACAGTCCATCTTGCAATCAGAGATCATTTGACCTTTCAAGTGACGTGTTGCACAGATGCGCGCCATTAGAATAGTTGAATTTTTCTTTTTTGCGCACTTTTTGGTGTAGGGGTCAACATTGGTCGAATGTTTGGATTATATTTTTTATTTAAATTATGTTATTTTGATTTCGTTGGCTCAAATTATCAATTTCTATTCCATTTTAAATTACCTCTTATTTTCATAAGAACTGATATTTTGTGTCGGAATCAACCAAAAAAATTGGAGAACTTTTTTAGCTTTCAATGATGAAAATACTAAAAAGGAATGGAAATCCTCTTCTTAAAGTATTGAAATAAATTCATAATTTATAAAATCAGAATTTTCTTTCTCAATTCACAGGAAAATTGCAGCTTTGGATTCATTTGAAATAATTTTCTTACTATTTTTTAAAATAATTTTTTACTATAAAAATTTCTTAAACTAATAAATTTTATATAAAAAATTGATTTAAAAAACTGTAAAAAAATTGTCCCAAAAGAATTCTTACCATATAAGTTGTATATAACTTCTTTATCTTTCCTACATTTTATAATTTGATTTAAATTGAGGCACTTGAAGAATCCACTCATGATAGAGAGCACAGTGCAACTCGTGAAATTTCTTTTTTTGAAGAAATAATCATAGTATTTATAAATGATGTATGGGTCAAGCATACGCACAAACAAAGAGTTTGATTATCAAATATTAAAAAAAGATATTTTTATTAGATTTAAATGAGAATTTGATTGTTAATCAGACCCCTTTGAGCTCAGGCAATAATTGCCCCCTCAAAAAAAAAGTTATTTTCTGATTCTTTAGATAATTTGTCCCCATCAATCAATTTTTTAGCTTTTATTACAAGAATTTTTAGGCAATTGTCCCACCTAAAAGTTTTAAAATACTATGATCTTTAGGCAACTGCCCACTGATGCCGGAACCCAGTAATTCCGGCAGAGAACGAAGCTATCTCCGGCGCTGCAGTGTACCAAGCAACGATCACCACCACCTGGACGGCTTGGACAATCCAGGATACAGGAAATAGACAGGGTTCTTGAACCTAGAAACAACCTTACGGTTCTTTATTTCAAAGATCAATTCCAAAAAGCCCTTTCCCTCCTAGCCGTATGAACTATTTATGTTCAAATACGGCTACAGGCTGAGCCAGAACAAAAGCTACACCAAAGAATTTATAAAATGAATACAGGACACTGATCTAGTAATACCAACAAAATTAAAAACAGGAAACGAAAAACAAACATTTAAGCAAATAAGCAAACTCCGATGGCTGCAGGCTATTCTGGATTGAGCTCCGACGTCACCCACAGCATAATTAAACATATTGTGTAGAGGTGTTATTGTTAGAAAAAAATGAACCAAAACAAAGAAAGTTAGTAAATCAAAATTTATTCCGGGGGCAAACTCTGCCAGGGGATGCTGCCCCCTAGACCCCGGACATATCTGTCAAAAACCTCTCCTCTTTAATGAAAGCATAGCCTGCATTTTCCAGAGCAATGAATTTCTTTATTTGTCTTCTTCATTAGTGGACAATGGGCTAAGATAAATTATTTGTGCAATCTTCCATGTAATTAGTTTTCACATGTAAAATCATCTACTGTAGACCTCATAAAATTTAACAAGATTCTAATATCAATTAGTTTTCACATGTAAAATCAACTATTTTTAATAAAGATATTTTTTTATTAATTTCAAAAAGATTTTTTTTTTATTAATTTCAAAAAGAGATATTTTTATTCATTTCAAAAATATATATATTTTTTAATTAATTTCAAAAAGATATTTTTCCTATTTGAATAGAAGATATTTCCTTAAGAAAATAAGTTGTTATTAAAGAGGATGTTAATTGGTTTGATAAAGATGGTGGTGGCATTCAAGAACAAGTTGTCATGAAAGACAAGGAAAAATAAGTGAGAAGATACTGAGGTTTCGTTTGGAACTGCTTTCTTTATGCTTTTTAAAGGAGTTTTTTAGTACAAAATTAAAAATTTTGTACTTAAAAGCTATTTTAAGAAGTAGTAAGAAAGACGTCCCATTGAGATAGTTTTTTCGTTATTTTTTAAAGAAAATTTCATGTACTTGAAAAAATTAGTTTAGAAAGCAGCAAGAAAGTCATCCCAAATAAAACTTAAGGCTTGATTTGAAATTGCTTTTTACTATTTTTTAAAACAATCTTTTAGTAAAATAATTAAAAATTTATGTTAAAATTTTATTTTAAAAAATAATAAAAAAATTGTCCTAAGCAAATCTTATATTTTATATATTTTTCATAATTTCATCCAATTTTGGAGTACTTCTTAACGCAACACTGGTAGTAGTGGTGGTCTATATTTTGAATTATAAATAATACATAGACTTTTCTATTAACTTGGCCATTAATTTGTCTGTCTTGCTGTAAGATTCGTGTCTCAGATTATTCAAAGAATTCTTCTAGAAGCCTTTGCTTTCATAGTGGAAAGATCAAATACTCTTACTTCATCCATGACGTCAAGTTCTACAGATTTCTGCTCTATGGTTTACTTATAACGACTCCTCCATTCACTTCAGCTTGAGAAAGCTACGTACTTCATATCCTCAGTTTGCCGTATCAGCAAGCAAACGATGGGATCTACAGTCCAAAGCCTCAACGTCCTCTTCTTCCCACTCATGGCTCCTGGCCACATCCTCCCCATGGTCGACTTGGCCAAGCTCTTCGCAGCCCGCGGTGCAGTCGTCACCTTTCTCACGACCCCCGGGAATTCTGCCCTCATCCAACCCACCATCGACCGCTTCAACTCCTCCGCCACCTCCTCCATCCGCCTCCACTTCATCCCCTTCCCCTTCGCCGCCGTTGGCCTCCCTGAGGGATGTGAGAACATATCATCTCTTTCCTCTTTCACAGAAATTCAAAAACTTATGAAGGCTGTTGCCTTGCTACGCCACCCATTCGACCTTGTCCTCAAAGAACTTCGCCCTGACTGCGTTGTCACCGACGTCTTCTTGCCATGGACCTATGAAGTGGCTACCGAGAATGGCATACCAAGGATCATTTTTGAAGGCTCCAACTTCTTTGCATCATGTGCTATTGATAGCATAGAGAGACACAAGCCTCTTGAGGGCTTACCATCGGAGTCGGAGACCTTCGTCCTCCCTGGCCTGCCACATCGCATTGAGATGCTTCGATCCCAAGTCAGCGATCCCAGTAAAATAAACTCTTCCATGACCGACATGCTTGAGATGATCAAGCTGGTGAAAGAGGTCGGTCCCAAGAGCTATGGGTTGGTGGTGAACAGCTTTTATGAGATGGAGCCGGACTACGTCGAACACTACAAGAAAGCCATGGGGAGGAAGGCGTGGCATGTCGGGCCTGTCGCGCTCTGCAACCAAGAGGAGGTCGATAAATCAGAAAGGGGCGGAGAAAACAGAAAAGATAGAGTCTTGAAGTGGCTAAATGGTAGGAAGCCAGGGTCAGTCGTGTACGTGTGCTTTGGCAGCTTATGTGATTTCACAGCCGAACAACTGAGGGAGATTGCTTATGGACTGGAGTTTTCCGGCCATCCATTTGTTTTGGTGGTTCGGAACTGCAGCAGCGATTCTTACAATTAAGAAGAAACCTGCACAATAAAACAGTAACACAAGACAAGAACGAGGTAGCTAAAAACAGGGTAATATCATTTCTGTCTCTTGGCTCTTAAAACAGGGAATATATATTCTCTTAGCTGAGAATTTCTCTAATACTAAAACTATACCCTGCAATAAAAAAGGTGCTAAGTGTACTATAATAGCAGAAATAGAAAACGGTTAGAAAAGAGGAGGTGAAGGCCACTAGTGGGCACATGGTCTAACAGAATAATGCCAGCTCATTCAAATAACCCGCATCAGTTCCCTCCGGTTTCAGAAGAACTCATCTCCGATGAGTGCAAGGCTGTGACGGCTTCATCTGGGGGGTGATAAGGGTAGATATCAGCAACATTAAAGGTTGTCGAGATAGCTAGATCCTTTGGAAGATCGATAACATAGGCGTTATCGTTGATTTTTCGCAATATTGGAAATGGACCGAACTTCTTGGGATGAAGCTTAGGACAAGAGCCTACGGGAAATCGATCTTGTCGATATCGGAGCATGACTAAGTCGCCGGGTTGAAATTCGACAGATCTGCGATGCTTATCTTGTGCCGCTTTGTATTTTAGATTAGTGTCTTCTAGACGACCACGAACACTCTTTAAAATTTCAGAAAACTGTTCAGCAGATTGCGCCGCAGCGGCACTTCGGCACTTCGGGAGAACGGCCACATCTACAATGTGGTTAGGCATTTTTGTGTATACAATACTAAAGGGACACATACCTGTGGCACGGTTTGGCATAGAGTTATAAGCAAACTCCGCTTGCCCAAGAACTTCTTCCCAACGCTTGGGGTGATCCTCAACCAAGCACCGCAGCATACTAGCGAGAGTGCGGTTGGTAACCTCAGTTTGACCGTCCGTCTGCGGGTGATATGCCGAACTCATTTTAAGATCAGTTTGAAATCTCTTCCATAGCTCCCGCCAAAAATGGCTGATAAACTTTACATCCCGATCCGAGGTTAAGCTGCGAGAAATTCCATGTAAGCGAACAATCTCTTTAAAAAACAATTTGGCGATATGCAAAGCATCGAACGTCTTCTTGCAAGCCACAAAGTGCGCCATTTTGGAGAAACGGTCGACTACCACCATGATCGAATCAGATCCCCTCGTAGTCCGCGGTAATCCCAGAACGAAGTCTAAGCTAAGATCTTCCCAAATCGTGTCCGGTACAGGTAGCGGTAGATACAACCCAGTGTTTTGGGCTGTTCCCTTATACTGTTGACACACAGCACACCGCTCTACGAAACGAGCCACGTCTCTTCTCATATGCGGCCAAAAGAACTTGCACTGCAGCTGTTGAAGGGTGCGGTCACGACCTACATGAGCTGCTAACCCGCCACAGTGAATATCCTTGATCAGTTGTTGCCGCCAGGAAGACTCCGGCACACATAATGAGTTTCCTTTAAAGAGGAATCCGTGTCTTACTGAGAAGTCATCTTGTGGAGTACCGAAACAACAGGACTCCCAAATGCTGCCAAAGTCCGTGTCTTCAGCGTATAACGCTTTCATTTCCTGCATACCAGTTACCTCAGTTTGTAACCGAGTGAGCAGAGCTGCTCTACGACTCAGGGCGTCCGCCACTCTATTCAATTTCCCAGTCTTATACTTTACTACAAAGCTGAATTTTTGTAAAAAAATCACCCACCTCGCATGCATTTTATTGATAGTTTTCTGGCTGTTCAAATACTGCAAGGACTGATGGTCACTGCAGAGCACGAAATCCTGGTGCAACAGGTAGTGTTCCCACTGTTTGAGAGCCCTGACCACAGCATACAGCTCTTGTTCATAGACAGTCCATTTTTGGCGCGAAGGGCTAAGTTTTTCACTGAAATACTCAACAGGCCTTTCTTCTTGATAGAGAACAGCTCCTATACCAGTCCCGGAAGCGTCAGTGTCAACTTGGAAAGCCTTTTCAAAACTTGGTAAAGCCAGAACCGGCGCGTTACATAAAGCATTTTTAATCTGATCGAAACTTGTCTGTTGTGGATCAGTCCAGGCGAATGAGTTACCCTTCATAAGATCAGTAAGGGGTGCGGCAATAACACTAAATCCCTTGATGAATCTGCGGTAAAAATTAGCAAGGCCATGGAAGCTTCGCACATCTGTAATGGAACGTGGCACTGGCCAGTCTCGGATGGCTGCAATTTTGCGTGGATCGGCATGAATTCCTTCGTGCGAAATTATGAATCCCAGGAAACAGACGGATGGGTTGCCGAACTCACACTTGGACATGTTTAAGTATAGTTTGTGAGCACGCAATGCCGCAAATACCTGATGAAGATGCTGCAGATGCTCTTCCATGGAGGGGCTAAAAATAAGTATATCATCGAAATAAGATACACAGAACTTACCGGAGAATGGCTTGAGAACTTCAGCCATCAATCTCATGAAGGTGGACGGCGCGTTACACAATCCAAACGGCATGACTCGCCATTCGTATAGCCCTTCTCGCGTCTTGAACGCGGTCTTCCATTCATCACCACTTCTAATGCGCACTTGATGGTACCCACTGCGCAAATCTAGCTTGGAGAATACCACGGATCCATGGAGTTTATCTAACAAATCAGAGATACGAGGTACTGGGAAACGGTACTTCGTCGTAATTTTATTAATGGCTCTACTGTCGATGCATAGTCTCCACTGTCCGTCTTTTTTGGGGACTATGAGAGCCGGCACTGCACAGGGGCTCATGCTGTGCTGGATCAGCTGTCTGCGAAGAAGATCATCCACAATTTCCTGCAAAATTTGATGTTCCTTTGGGCTCATCCGGTGATGCGGAAGATTGGGTAACGTCGACCCTGGAACGAAATCGATCTGATGCTGGATGGCACGGAGCGGTGGTAACTCCATGGGTAACTCGGACGGAACGATATCTGCAAACTCTTGCAAAAGACTGCGAATTCCGGCTGGCAACGGCACTTTGTCATGAACATTCTGGAAATCTGTGGTGACTAAAGCCAACATAGTCGTTTCAGCCAATGGAGTTAACAAGAGTTCCGGTCCCGAAACTAAATAAGCCACGGCTTTTCCTTTTTCGTTTTGGCCTATGTGTTCAGGAGTCTGTGGCAACAGTCTCAATTTCTTGCCGTTCCATTCTAGCGAGTAAACATTGCTCCGACAGTCGTAATGGGCGTTAGCATCAAATTGCCATGGTCTGCCTAAGATGATATGACAAACATCCATGTCGAGTACATCGCAGACAACATTGCAGACATAATGTTTACCTATGGAGAAGGTTACGGCACACGTCTCATTGACAGTGATTTCTATACCACGTTTAACCCAGCTAATCTTATATGGGTGAGATTTCTTCGTTGTTTTTAATTGTAAGGCCTGCACTACGGAACGAGAAATCACGTTTTCGGTACACCCGCTATCAACCAGTAACTCGCATACCTTCCCCTGTATCGTGCATTTTGTTCTAAACAAAGCATTCCGCTGTGTCGGTACAGCATGTCTGGGAGCAAGCAAAAGCTTCTCAAGGATGCAAACAAGAGGTTCTCCCATGTCTCCGCAGACGTCTTCGGTCTCGTCATCCTTCTCCGCAGGCAATTCAGGCTCTCCGCTGAATTCACGGTTCTCACCTTCTGCCAACTGAAGTTGTTGTCGGTTGGGGCATTCATTGGACTTATGCCCCGGTTGAAAACATCTGAAACACTTTAAAGGGTTTGGTCTGCCATACGGATTCTCCTTAGGCGGTATCTTAGCTCGGATCGGCGGTCTTGGCTCGGTCGCCTGGACAATAGGAGTATTACCTGGGGCTGTGGGTGGTTTGGCGTACGCATTTGTTGTTGCTGTTCGGGAATTGTCACCTGGAGATTCTTGTGAGACTAGCCTTCGGCTGGAATAACTTCTAGAGTGGCGTTGCAACTGTGCCTCTGCCTTCAATGCGAAATTCACCGCCTGAGATAAAGACCAGATGGAGTTCATTTCCAGCTTCTCTTGAAGTTGCTCCCGTAACCCTCCGACAAATCTGGCAACCAATTGATTCTCCGTCTCTTGTAAATTATTACGGGCGCTGAGTCTATAAAACTCTTCGGTATACTCATTCACTGTCCGCAATCCCTGTACACAATGTTGATACCTGAGGTACAACATTTGTTCGTAGTCTGTCGGCAAAAAGTGCCCCCTTAGCAGTTGCTTCATGCGAATCCAGCTACGAACCGACCCCCGTCCTTCACGTCGGCGTGCCTGTAACAACTGCAACCACCATGCGCTAGCACCACCTTTCAGACGACACGCTACATATTTAACCTGTTTCTCCGGTTGAATCTCCAAATACTCGAAGAAGGTTTCAACTGCCCGTTCCCAATCCAGGTAATCTTCAATATGTAAATGACCATCAAAGTATGGGATGTCCAACTTCACCTTGAATTCACCTTGTTCTCTTCGGGGATGACGATGTCGTCGTCGTGGCGGATCTTGAAGTTGATACTGCATCTCCTCTTCCGAATCGGACTGAGCAGGATTCAGCCGATATTGAAGTTCGCCTTCTGAATCTGAAAAATCGGTTATAGGAATCTGTTGCCGCCGTCGGATTCCCTCCACCGGTTGTCTCCCCATCGGCGGTGCCGGAGTTGGTACACATCCTCTGCCCGCGGGTAGCAGCATTGCTCTTAAAGCAGCCATATCGGTCCTCATCTCCATGGAGAGGCGAAATAAATCTGCTCTCATCTCCTCCAGTTGCCGCGTGAAGCTGGTTTGAGCCGCCCACACTGCATCCAACGTCTTCTCCTCCTCGGTAGTTCTTTTAGAACTGCCTTCAGCCATTCCCAGGTTGGCTCTGATACCAATATGCAGCAGCGATTCTTACAATTAAGAAGAAACCTGCACAATAAAACAGTAACACAAGACAAGAACGAGGTAGCTAAAAACAGGGTAATATCATTTCTGTCTCTTGGCTCTTAAAACAGGGAATATATATTATCTTAGCTGAGAATTTCTCTAATACTAAAACTATACCCTGCAATAAAAAAGGTGCTAAGTGTACTATAATAGCAGAAATAGAAAACGGTTAGAAAAGAGGAGGTGAAGGCCACTAGTGGGCACATGGTCTAACAGAATAATGCCAGCTCATTCAAATAACCCGCATCAGGAACATGAGCGATGAGTGGATTCCTGATGGATATGAGGAGAGGATAGAAGGGAAGGGTCTTATCGTCCATGGATGGGCGCCGCAGCTGCTGATACTTAACCATGAGGCAGTGGGCGGCTTCATCACACATTGTGGATGGAATTCAAGCTTAGAAGGGATAACCGCAGGGTTGCCATTGGGGACATGGCCGCTCTTTGCTGAGCAATTTTTCAATGAGCGTCTCATAGTGGATGTGCTCAAAATTGGAGTGGAGGTGGGTTCAATGGTGTTCGGGTTTAGGCCGGAGGAGCGACCGGTTGTGAATGCATCAGCTTTGGAGGCAACAGTGAGAAGTGTAATGGGGGAGGGGGAGGATGCAGTGGAGAGGAGGAGGAGAGCGAGGGAGCTTAAAGAGTTGGCGAGGAAGGCAATGGAGGAGGGAGGGTCTTCTTATATTGATCTTAGAATTTTGATGCAGGAGTTGATGGAGAGAAAGGCACAATCTTTTTAAAGTTTGATCCCTTAAAACTAAGATTTTATTGTGACTTTGCAATAATTATGTCTTTTTTATTAGAATTTTTATGTTGATAGTCCTTTGCTTCCACACCAGCAATGGAACCACCAATTTCATATTTTGAATCAAAATTTTAGTTTGTTTGTAATTGTCGGGAGAGAGTTTAGTGTGCACGATGATCTTTATCAGCACCTAATTAAATAAGCTTAGCTCTAATGATATGTAAATCATGTTCTTGTTAACCAATGGCAATCTCACACGTGTATAGCTCAACTTGCTCTGCCTATTAATAGGCTCATGTACTCTGGCTCGACTGAACCAATGAAATAAACTCTCTCTTCCTGTCTTGTTCTGAGTTCATCTTCCTGAAGTCTGGCGAACTATCTCACTGGACCTACAGTTTCTACATGGTATCAGTAGCGGGCTGATCCTCTGGCCAACAACTATCATGGCATCCTCGACGTCACCTTCCTCTACTCAGGCGGACACCGGAGCTCCGACGTCGTCGAAATCGGTTCTTTATCCATCTCTCAAATTCATAATCTCAAATCTCAAAACTCTAGTTCCACATCAACTCTCATCGGAAAACTATCCGATATGGAGGAACCATATTGTCAAACTCTTCAAGGCAAATGGCTTCGAAAGTTTTCTTGAATCTTTATCGAACCCAGATCAAGAAAATCAAGATTCTAACTACACAGACAACACCTGGATCTTTGCAGATCAGAACCTTGCCGCGGCGATCTGTTCAACCATATCGGCCTCGGTGCTCCCTTATGTAATGCACCTCGATTCCACATCTGAAATCTGGCAAGCCCTTCAAATCCGGTTCCAATCTTCGAATCGATCCAAGGTAATGCAGCTCAAGAACTAGTTGCACAACATTGCTATGAAGAATATGTCTATGCAAAATTACCTCACAGAGATCAAGAAGATCGTCGACAACATTGCCTCCGTCGGCTCAACCATTGACACTGAGGATATTATCCTTCATATCTTGAACGGCCTACCGCCCTCATATCAGTCATTCAAGACCGCTATCAGGACAATGCAATCTCCTCTCAAGCTCGACAACCTATATGCAATGCTGATCAGCAAAGAAATACATCTTCAAGCCGACTCTCTGTGTCTAGCAATACCGCAAGAAACACAAACCGCTCTATACGCAAACTGCGGCCGTGGTCACCGTGGCCGAGGAAGAACTCAGCCGTCCTCTGGATCGGTCCAGAAACAGGGCTCGAAATCCTCCCTCACATGTCAAATATGCTTGAAACGAGGACACACTGCTGATGTCTGTTGGCACCGTCTCAATGCTAACTACATCACGCCAAGAACTCAATCAGATCCCAATAATGCTCTTCTTGCCTCCACAGATGCGACATCCACAGACTGGTATCTCGACTATGGTGCATCTGCGCACATGACCAACATAAACGATCAAATTCTTCAAGGCTCGGTCTACCAATGATCCGATCAGGTGATGGTTGGGGACGGAAGATCCGTCCCGATTGCTCATTCGGGCACGGGTCTCCTCCCGACACCGGATCGTAAGTTAATTATGTCCAAACTACTTCATATACCTGCCATATCTCACAACCTACTTTCTATATCTAATCTTGTTTCTGCTAATCAAATATCAATTATATTTACTCCTAATGGCTTCGTCTTAAAGAATTTGTAGAACAACAGAACGCTTCTCAGCGGTCCGTGTAGGAATGGACTCTATCCCATTGCAATGTCGACGTTGTCATCTCCGAAGCAAGCTATGTTAGTTGTGCAGACAAAGAAAATCAAATGGCATGAGCGACTGGGTCATCCTCATCAACAGATTCTGCAACACATCTCCAGAACCAATCCTAGTCTTCATATTTCGCATATCTCTAATATTTGTACTTCGTGTAAGCTGTGCAAGAGTCACAAATTACCATTTGAAAATTCTGTAAATCGAACTAATAAACCTCTTCAGCTTATGCACTATGATGTGTGGCGACCGTCTCTGGTCACCGCACAACAGGGTTTTAGATACTATCTTCTCATCGTGGATGATTTCTCGCGTTACTCGTGGATTTTTCCTTTACTGTTTAAATCCGATGTCGTTCATACATTTATATATTTCATTAAATTCATTGAAAACCAAACGGATCACAAAATCAAAGCTATTCGAACCGACGACGGCTGCGAGTACATGAACCACCAGTTCCAAAAGTATCTCGGTTCCAGAGGTATTCACCATCAGGTGTCCTGCCCCTACACACTGGAACAGAACGGGGTCGTCGAGCGCAAGCACCGTAATATCCTGGACACCGCTCGAACAATGCTACAAACCACATATATACCTCATCTTTACTGGCCAAAAGCTGTGGCCACTGCGGTCTATCTGATCAACAGACTTCCCTCGCCTACCAACCAAAATCAATCTCCACTTCAACTCATGTTCAATATTAATCCATACTATACTCACCTCATAACGTTTAGATGCGCTTGCTTTTCGCGTCTTCCACCGCACTCATCCACCAAACTTCAACCAAACTCCACCACCTGCATCTTCTTGGGCTACTCGGACAACCACAAAGGATAAATGTGCTTAAACCAAGAAACCAGTCACATAATCATCTCCCGGCACGTTCAATTCATAGAGAATATGTTTCCATTTCAGCAGCCATCCAAACCTTCACTACCCTCTACACAGGACGTGCCAACTCAACTGCTTCTCCCTGTATCCAAAGCCACCGAAGGAGCACCCGTTCGATCGATTCCATCTCTTCCTCGGACAAATCAGAAGGCCTCTACCTCATTCTCCACAGCAAACTCAATCCCGTCTATACGGATCACGCCGCCTCCAACACAAGATTCATCTCACATTACTCCACTAACTCAACATCACATGACGACACAATTCAAAACCGGTTCTCTCAAACCCATCAGCTGTCTGAACCTGCTTCATCAAATAACACAATGTGATCAACAATCTGCACCCACTAGCTACTCTGAAGCGAGCAAGCAGTTCGAATGGCGTCAAGCCATGGCAGAAGAATTTGCGGCACTCCAACAGCAGGGCACATGGTCCTTAGTTCCACAGCCACCGAATGCATCTATCCTAGAATGCAAGTGGACGTTCCGCAAGAAGTTTAACTCTGAAGGGACGGTAGCCAGATTCAAGGCTCGTCTCGTGGCTCAAGGGAATCGACAAGAACACGGACTGGACTACGAAGAAATATTCAGTCCGGTGGCGAAGCTTCCTACCATTCGAGTCCTCTTCACAGTCGCTCTGCATCATTGATAGTCGGTGCAGCAGCTAGATGTCACGAATGCCTTTCTCCATGACAGCTTAAATGAAATAGTATTTATGTGCCAACCCAAAGGATTCGAAGACTACGTATATCCAGATCACATTTGCTGTCTAAAGAAAGCCATATATGGGCTCAAGCAGGCTCCCCGGCAGTGGTACACCACATTCACCAATCATCTCATTAACATTGGGTTTCAGCACAGTAAGGCATACCCATCTCTTCTTCTATATCGTCGGCAGCACACTCAGATCTTCCTCCTAGTGTACGCAGATGACATTTTAATCACGGACAATGACAATGAGGCCATCTCAGCTCTTCTCCACAAACTGAACTCTCAATTCACCATGAAGCATCTCGGACTAGCCCGTCATTTTCTCGGCATCACCATACAATCCACACAAGATATGTATTTTCTTTCACAACAATCATATGCCTACTCTCTACTTCAACAAACTAATCTAACCAAATGCAATTCTCTTTCTAATCCATCCTTCATGAAACAGCTTACTCAATTTCGTCCTGAGAACACTATAGCGGACACCACCACGTATCGATGCATCACCGGAGCTCTACAGTATCTCATTGTAGGTCTCCGAAAGGATTATGCTCATGTGATTCGAATGCAAAGGGTACGATCACATTATCCCGTAGGACAAAGTGGTCATAGACCTTTACAATCGACACAAGCAGGCCGATGGAAGAGCAGATGGAGTTATAGATACGATTAGCCATGGAGAATAGCGGCTTTCACCTACCAACCTCGATGAATAATAATATCTATAACCCAAAAGTTCACGAGATTTCCCTTATTCGATACATCAGCATCAAATAGGGTTTATTTGATTGTGGGGATCAGTTTTCTACGGGCGCAAGCCCCCGTAGTTAATTATATCTTAGACCTCGGTCTAAGAAAACTCTTGATTAAGGATAATAGATTATCTTTTCCAAATGGGTTTAGTGCAAAGAGAAAATTCTAGGCTTTCCTAATCAAAGGGGAAGGTCCCAAATTGGCTCAATCAGATCACACGTGGTTCAGTCAACATTTGGCCGGTCAGAGGAAGAGAAAACTTGAGAAAAAGAGAGAAGACATTGCACTCAAACATGCACGAGAGAAGGAAGGAGGTGGCGTCATCTGTGTGACGTGGATGGGTAGGATTTATAGCTTCTGAAAAGATGGAGAGCTTACCCACCAATAAGGTGTATAATGGTACACCTGTACCACTCACCTTTAAACCCTAAATCTATAAAAGATGTAGTGTTGCACATACGACACTAACATCTACGACCTAACTAGTGCAATCCTGGACTTATTCCTTGCATGACAAAGGAAGCCAGCTAAAACCACCTAATCGTATAAAATCCATATTGTCCGGTCCATATGAAGAAGGGTGGGTAGTTAGACACTAAAATTTGGGATCGACAACTAGAGAAATTCCTAAGTGATCCCACACTTATGAGTGGTGCAATGCTCCTAAAATTAATGCAATTAAATTTTGATTTTAATTAGTTACTAATGTAATTTATGCTGGTTAAAGTCTCCAAATCATGTATGTATGAAATTTTAAAAAGGCTTATAAAAATAATTTTTTGAATGACTAAACTTCCCCAGGTCCGGCACTTCATCCTCATAGGCCAGATTATCCGGACTCTACCCGCAGGCGGGGAAGTTTGTCTAAAAGGAGAGAGAATGCATGTATGCCACCCCGACGATTCCGGCTATTT